CTGCTGTTATAGCTATACCTTAGTGTCATAATTCTTTCTTTAATAAAATATTTACAAGGTACTTTTGTATACATACATTGCACTCTAATGAATATTTTAGGCTAAGGGTAGTGTACACAGTGAAGATCACTTGACAATTGTACTTGGCAGAAATTCATTTCATCATTATGAAAAAAACCTTCTATTCCAGATGCCTATGAGTGCGCAAAGATGCTGTGTGATCAGTATTATTTAACATCTCCTGAATTAAAACTCACACAAGTGAACGGTAAGCTATAAATAAAATATAGTTTAATCTATGGAAAACTCAGTGTTCTCTCAGTATGAGTAATACTGTAAACACAGAGCAACTTTTGTGTTCCATTTTCCCCTTCTGAACATGCCTAGAGTTTGTACACTTCTTTTTTGAAGCTAAGGTTCTCTTTATCTCAACTGGAAAGTTCCCATTGAGCACATTCAGTTGCTACTAATAATTCCTAAAGAAGAATAGTTTGAACAGTTTGGAATGTAGAGTAGCAACTTAGTTCTAATATCTTAGGTCAAAGAAAAATTGCTTACTATAGAAAAGGGGGGATAGGAGACTAGATATGGGAGGCACCACTTGGTAGTGGAGATACCCTCCTAATTAATTCCAATAAGGTTACTCATAAGGTCTAGAAACAAAAATAATTTAAATTGTACTGTAAGAAACAGGCTAGTAACAGAAGGACAAATACTGCAATATCCTACTTACATGAAATATTTAAAATATCTCAAACTCAGAGAAGCAGAGAGTAGAATGATGGTTGCTAGAGGCTGGGGGAGAGAGAAATAGGGAGTCACTATTCAATGGGTATAAAATTTCAGTTATGCAAGATGAATAACTTCTAGAAATCTGCTGTACAACGCCTTGCTTATAGGTAATAATACTATACTGTACACCTAAATACTGAAGAAGGTAGCTCTCATGTTAAATGTTCTCACCAAAAGATTTTTAAATTGCACTATAAGTATATACCAGTTTTGGAAGCAGAGCATACTATATTTAGTAGCTTCAACTGTGGGGTACCTGAACGAATATGAGTCTTCCCACATTGACTGAAACGATTGCGTGAGGAATGCAAGGCATTATTTTTATCCTATTCCATAGTTGCTTCTCCAAACATGACAGTAACATTCTCCTTTCAATTCAAAGTAGACATCTTTTCCAAGTAATAGTTACAATGTTTGTTGGTGGTGAGAGTGAAAATCAAGTTGCTCAAATTATGGGTAGCCTAACTCATGGGGTGGGGTTATGCAAATACAATTGATTGCTAAACTAAAAATAAAAGTGCAATAAAGATTGAAAAATATCTCTAAGCATTAACAGCATTGTTGCATAACTTGTAGATAAATTGCTTGAACTGTTTGATAAAATAAAGAGGGCACTGAGCCAGACCTTGTGTTTTCTAATTCAAACTTTGCCAAGGCCTGGCAAACCAAAGAATAATTCTTTTCAAACAGTATTATGAGGTTTTTGTTTCTCTGTTTTCTTTAGTCTGTTGGTGAAATTTGAGCATATTTAGTCTGTAAGATTTAATGTTTGGATGATAAAAATCAAGAATAATCAGAAGTGTTATTTTCCCATGCATCATTGAGTAATTTCCCATGTGTTATTTCAATTTCAAAATATGAAAATTATAGCTAGCATAAATTTTGATGTTATACTATAGACAAATTAATTATATGCAAATTAATGCATATAATTTTAATTCTAAAATTGTCCGGTACAAAATTTTTGAAAATAGAAAAAAGCCATATAACCTAATTTATAGCACCCTTGCTGAACACTTCATCTGCTTTATACATTTGTAGAGAAATGCAAAACTTAATTATAGAGTTCTAGGTAGCAACTGTAATAGCATATTGAAAATAAGCCAGTTGTGTTTTCAGTTTAAGAAGGAAGGTTCTAGGGTAGGATTTTGGAGTGAGGAAGATGGGGAGTATTCCAATCGTGTTTTAAGTCTGAAATATTAGTTAAATAGATATGGAAGTTTATTTTAATGAAATATTTATGTACCGATTCTAATGAGTTTGATTTTTTTCTAGGAAAATCTCCAGGGCAGCCAATTCACATTGTGTATGTTCCTTCTCACCTGCACCATATGCTCTTTGAACTATTCAAGGTATGACTTCACAATGATTGCAATTTTGTTTTGTTTTTTAAATTCCCTGTTTTCTTTTTTCTGTCCTTTATCATTTCTGACTAAACAAGAGCATCACTCTCTTCTCCCAAGCAAGCTTCTGTGCTCCTTCCTAACAGGAGGCTACAGTGAATGTTTGAAAGGGTACATCGAGTTCCTTGTAGTATCAGCATGTATTTGAGAATGTACAATATGATTCATGATGTCTCAAGGGCTCCCTAGTCCCATATTTGTTCAGGTGTCCAACAAAGCTCCATTCATTCATGCATTCATTAAAAAAGTTCATGGGGTGAACGCTTCGCGGAATGAGGCCTCGTTTCTCCCACCCCCACAGGCTGCTCCCATTCCAAATCCACAGGTTCAGGTTCAGAATTACTGTAAGTGGCAGGATCTCAATCTGAGTCAGAGGACAGTCCTAGTCCATTCCTTCCATGATCTACTTTTAATGTCCATGTGAATCACCTGGTGGTTTTGTGAAAATGCAAATACTGACTCAGTGGGTCTGGGCTGGGGCCTGAGATTCTGAATTTCTAGTACGCTAACAGGTGTTGCTGCTGTTCCACCATCCACGTTTCATGGCAAGATTGGAGGGCAGTGCTTCTCAACCTTCCCTGTGCTTAGAATCACCTAGAGGGCTTGTGAAAACAGATCCTTAGGCTCTGTCCCAGATAGAGATTTTGATTCTTTAGGTCTGAGAATCTCCGTTTCTATCCAGCTCTCAGAGGATGTAGGTGTTACTGGTGTGGGGTAGCCAGGTGCTGGAATCAAATCCTGTCCTGGGTTCTAAGACCAAACTACAACTTGGTACTTCCACCAAAAGATAGGAAACACTTTGCGATGCTTCCAAGAGTCCTCTGGACTGGGGAGGAGGGGGGCTAAAAAATGTGAAATTTGCTCCTAATTCTTATGTAACTCTTCTCAAAACATAGTATTTCCTAACTTATGTTAATAATGTTAGTACAATTAGGTATTGATTATACTGCAGACATCTGATCTAGCTTATTTCACATTAGCTAATGATTAGAACGTCATACTAAATAGAAACCAGAAAGCAGATAATTTTCTGGGAAGTTAGAGAGAAAAATGGGTGAAATACACCAAAACTGCACCTGTATGAGAATCATATAGTTAGTTGTCTGAAAACTTGAGTTTCTTCTCTGTTAAAGGACAAAAGATACTTCTTTGTTTGATTGATTTACTTTTAAATTGAATGGTCCAACTCAGCTTTATTTTGCCATCATTGGTAAAAGTGAAGATGATAATCACATGTACATTGAAATTTAATTTAGAATTGTGTACTACCCTTTTAAATAGTAACAATCTTTTCCCAGCAAATTTTATAAAAGCCAATAAGTTGGTTCAATGGTTCACTGTTCCTTTGTGATGTGTAATAGTCTTTGGTGTTTGGATGTAAAATGTAATGGAAAGACAGAAAAGAGGGCTATACAAATCAATTTTTACCTTTAAATTAAGTTTACAAAAAAGAACTTGACAAGTAAGAGAATTGTTTTCCTATTAGATATTACTCCCAGGAAATATATGACATGGTAAATGCATACTTTTCATTTTACACCCTACGTGGCATATTCATAAATAGCTATTTACAGAGTTATTATAACGACTAACTTAAAAGAATGGGAACTTTGAATTACCCTCTGTGCTACTTTTATTTTAAACATAAAAAACAGGTACTTATTGTCCCTCATTATTCTGCCATTCGATTTTTTTATGTTTTTGTTTTCTTTAGAATGCAATGAGGGCAACAGTTGAACACCAGGAAAACTTGCCTTCCCTCACCCCAGTTGAGGTGATTGTTGTCTTGGGAAAAGAAGATCTTACAATTAAGGTAACCATCCTCTATTTATCTTTTGAGTATCTCTTGAGATAATTTAAAAAATCACCAATAAATCAAAGATATGGCAATAGATCAAAGCCATATACCAGGTGACTTTTTGATGCAGGAAGGACATTTTTATAGAGACGAAGGCACGTTGTTTTGAATGTGTGGCTCTGATGACTCGTTTGTTTGTTTAAGATTTCAGACAGAGGAGGCGGCGTTCCCCTGAGGATCACTGACCGCCTCTTTAGTTATACCTACTCCACCGCACCAACGCCTGTGATGGATAACTCCCGGAATGCTCCTTTGGTAAGAACAATTATATGGCAAAGTTCATCCCAGCCACCTAGCTCTAAAGAAGGGCCAGGATTACAAGGAAGTGTTTAGGCAAGTTCATCAGTTTAAATTGGGCCCGGGGGATATGAGGAAGAATGATAAAGCAAACTAAAATGGTGAAACAATTCAAGGGGCCCCTGGTTGGAAGCAGGAGATATTTAACTAGATTCTATGAAGCACAGTAGCAACAACTTCCCACATTTTGTATTTCAATGATCATGTCCGCCTTTTTACCAATAACTGATCCTTCCTCTCCAGGCCGGTTTTGGTTATGGCTTGCCTATTTCTCGTCTCTATGCCAAGTACTTTCAAGGAGACCTGAATCTCTACTCTTTATCAGGATATGGCACAGATGCTATCATCTACTTAAAGGTATACTTTAAATTCAATAGAAAACAAAATCGTTTTTTAAAAGATTGCTTCGTGTACAGCCCTGATTCTGTGGTCCACAGTGAAAACCCCAAAGTGAGTTCATGCAAATAATGACCAGAAGTAATTCTAGTTTCTGTTTGGTAGATGTAGATATATTGTTTAATATTTAATATGGTAACTTACCAACAAGGAGGTAAAGCTAGGCTACATGCCTCCAGTGAAGCAAAATTGTTGCCCAAGAGGGCAGGCTTGTGTGAAATTTTTAAGGCAACTCCTTTGGCATCTGTGAGAAGAGCTGTACTTTTGTTTTACTTCAATTTGTGAGAAAAAGGTGCTAATAATGTTCCAGCCTCAAAATTAACTGACACTGAGTTATTCAAGACCTTAAGCTGACATTAGAAATCCAGGGAAAGACAGCTGACTGCTCACAAGTTGTCAGGAAGATACCTGGCATTTTCTGTTTAAAATTTAAAACTTGGTAAATGTTTTTCTATTTCTGATAAAACCTCAATTTATTTGTTAAGGTCACTGTCCTGATTCTGTTTCTCATTTGCCAACTATTTCAAATGAAAATAGATTTACAGATATTAGTAACTAAAACATTAAGCTTCTAGGCTCCCATTCTGTGCCAGGGAATTATTTGCCAAGTGGTCTTTGACCATCTGAAATAACTAATGCATTTCTTTCTTTTTTAAAAAAAAAAAAATCGCATATTATCTCTCAGAATTGTTTTTTTTTTTTTCTAAAATAGTTTATTGTTTTTTTGTGGGTTTTTTTGAGAGAGAGAGAAGGGAAGGGAGAGAAAGAGGAAGAGAGAGGAAAAGAGAAACACTGACATGAGAGCAAACCATTGATCGGCTGCCTCCTGCACACCCGTGACCGGGGATCAAGCCTGTAACTCGGCCATGTGCCCTGACCGGGCATTGAACCATGACCTCTTGGAGCACTGGATGATGCCCAACCAACTGAGTCACACGGCCTAGAGCACATTCGTTTCTTCAATAAGGCAAAGTCTTCATAGTATTGGGAAAGATTAGTAGCTCATAGACTTATAGTATCAGATTAGAACTCTGTCACAGATACAAAGGTTTTCCTTGGACAGGATAGCTTTGCTATGCAACTCTATCATATTGGTAATATCCAAACAAAGGCTATGTGTGAATATTGAACACAAATTCTATTCCCTAATTTAAATTGTACATATTCTATTTCATCCCCTGTAGGGTAAAGATCAATATTTCCTTTTAGTTTTCTTTTATACAGTGCCTGACATACTATGGGCTCTGGTGTGCTCTTATATTACTAAATTAATGAAAGGAAGGTATTTGAATGGTGGACAACTTACCTCTGAATTTCTTTTGAATAATCACTTCAAGTGCAAATGAGGCCTTGCCTAGTTCCTTTGGTTTGACTTGTTTCTTCATCCTCTGCAGGCTTTGTCTTCCGAGTCTGTAGAGAAACTCCCGGTCTTTAACAAATCAGCCTTTAAGCATTATCAGATGAACCCCGAGGCTGACGACTGGTGCATCCCAAGCAAGGAACCAAAGAACCTGTCGAAGGAAAAAGTGGCCGTGTGAGGAGGGACGCTCAGGGCACTTTAAGGGATCAAAGTGGGTCTGTGCCAGCGCTGCTTTCTGAATGTCTGCATGCGGACTCTTCTCCCTCAAACACCAGCCACAGAACTCCTTGACCAGGACACTGAGGGGAAGAAGAACAAAGCTCATTCCTGTGACCCAGGAGAGCACAGAGCAGGACCAGGACTGCAGGAGTTAAGACATGGCCAGCTCTTTATTCTTTAAATTGAGAATAATGCTTGGGTTTATATCAAAACCCGAATAAGATATAAGCCTCAATTTGTCATCTCTTTGTCAACAGGAATGGGAAGAGAAGGGCAGTGAAGATATAGGCTATCAGTTTCAATAGAGTGATGTTTTAGAGTTTAGACCTTTGGTTAATGTCATAAGATAATTAGTATTTATTGAATATCAAGTGTCAATTATATCAGTATTTTCCTGCCATTCAAAGAAGTGGGGCTTAGTTCATACTATATGTCTAGAAATGTATGTAAATGTACATTTTGTATCTATCTATGCGCTCTAGGGAGGAAAAACTGGTGACTAAAATAGCATTCACTTTGAATGACAAATAAGTCAAAACGTTTTATTAAAAGTTGCGGCCAAGGCCTTGAGCCTCTGTAAAAACGCCGAAGATAACCTTCTCTGATAAATACAGGGCCTTTATTACGCTGCTTTCCCTGTTCACACCTCACATAGTAAGTGAGCTTATTGCCAGGTACCTCATCTTGGGCGAATTTAAAATATGCACTGAATTCAGAATGTTGGTGGTTGGAGGGGGAGAAGAGTTGCCAAAGTGAGAGCAAAACTATCTCTCATCTTGTTGGTAAATAGTAGGTTGGA